GGGAGGGGGGGGGGTCGAGAAATCCCAAATTTAGTGAAAGGCCCTGAAATTTATAGTTTTTTTACGCCGAGATACGCTGGCGCTTCATTCGAGTGATTTTGAAGGGCGGGTTGGTCGCTCCAGGAGAGCGCCAAGACAACCCGATCGTAAATATTGGTTGAAACTTACCCACAGTTTCGAAGTATAAAATCGAAGGAAATACCTCGTAAAAATAATCGAGAGTTTCCCTGCTTTCTATTAGATACACTTTACTGCAAGTGATCGTAATTTTCCCCCCCATCTCCTTCAGAATTGAGTCAATAAATTGTACCTTAAATTATTTTATTCTTAAAATTGTTCCAAAAAAATCTACGATTAAAGGGAAGAAAGGTCAAAGTAAGCACGGCGCGACTTGCAACTGGAAAATTGGAGTATGTAAATGCGCGAATACGTGTTTTAGTGTCTTTGTCTCGGCGAGAATCATAAAACTCACGATCGTGTTCAAAGAGAGAGCTGAGACGAGTGTAAAAATTTATCAGTAGTTGCAGCAGAAATGCGTTAGCTTCTTGAGCACCTGTTTGATTGATACGATACGACAGTAAAATCGCCCGCAGTAAAGTCGTCGAAGCCCCTCTTGTACATGCACAACATCAAAATCTAAATCTCTATCTAAATCTCGTAGAATGCCATTGTCATTTTATAAGTAGGTATACAACTGACTAGGCAACCATCCAGCGAGCCGATTATTGAAATTGATAGACAGAGCTATAGACAAAAAAGACAAAAGAGATATGGAGGGATCCTATTGGTGGAAGCGGGTGGTTACAATGGACTAAGGAGGGAGGTAATAGACTATCTAACGGCAACCCACGAGGGACCCGATAGTTAGTCCATAATTTTCTTCCTTGGTCTATAGGAACCACCCATTTCAAAAGGATATGGAGGGATCCTATTGGTGGAGGCGGGTGGTTGCAATGGACAAAAGAGGTAGGTAACAGACTAACTGACGGCAACTCACGAGAGACCCTTCAGTAAGTCCATCATTTACCCCCTTAGTCGATAAGAACCACCGAAATTGCCTAGAGGATGGCTCCATACTCATTATGTCCTCTTTTTCCATGGCTTAATTTGTCTATATGGATTTCAAAAATGAGCCCGCTGTGGAGAGGCTTTGAGCTTTCTGGATGCCTGCCCCTGGGATTCGGGTGGAGGAGGCGCTTTAGGCGGAAATAAATGACTGGAGTTAAGCTCTGGATAGACGATCAAATTCCGATCAAAGTAGACATGCTGATGACTGATGGTCACCGTCTGACATCAAATTTTGACGGGCCGCACTATTTTGTTCAAAGTAAGATGAGAATGGAGTGCCACCTCTCATCATTTCCTGCCACAGGAAACACTTCTGCTAAGTTTTCATTTTAAAATTAAGCAAATTAATGAGTTTAAGACTTATGACTCCCGACACTTTGATGGTAATTGGTTCGGGAATTTCATCGTCTATCGAGACCTTTCGGGAGGGTGATAGAGGACTAACCAGAATTGGCGCCGGTGATGATGACTGTCTTGCCGTCCATCCTCTTGGTGGAGGTGCAGCGGCCTTTGGTGAGGTAGTTGTAGAACTGGACGAGACATACGGCGAGCACGCTCACCACCACTGTCGCAGCCGCGAGAACGTACAGGTGCACGCTCGACTGCGCTTGCAGATACTCTAGCTTGAACATTCTCCCGTCCTCACCGACCACCGTCCTAGGACAAACAATCCGGCAAATTATTAGCTCCCGAGCTCACCACACTCGTCGCCGCGTTGCCGAGGCGAAGAGCAACAAATAGATGGATTCCATCTTGCAAGAAGGAACCAGAAGCATTGCAATGAAGCTGAGATTGTGCAACTTCATCCTTTGCAACACTGGAAAAACAACACATTGGATCTCGAGTCCAGACTCTTAAAAACATCGACAAGAAAAAATACTCTTGATTCAATCAGATTTAAGCTTAAATCAAGAACAAAGCCTATTAATTTGAGCGGATTTCCTTTTGATTTAAGCTTAAATCTGATTGAATCAAGAGTCCTTTTTCTTGTCAATGTTTTCAGGAGTCTGGACTCTAGATCCAATGTGTTTTTTTCCCGGTGTATACAATTACTGAAGCCATGAAAAAATATGAAATTTACATAATAATATTTGTCTTAAATTTATAGTTTTTAGCGAGTAAAATAGTAACTGTTAATGGATAGTCAGGTTTTTCGTCCAAGAAAAAAAAAGATGCACAATTTTAGCAACATCCCAATGTTCCTGGTTCCTTTCGCAAAATGCGATACAAATGATCCAGGTTTTTTAGCCGGACGCACAGGCCCAGAGACAAGAAGAGACCCTCTATTGCTATCTTGGCAATTAGTGCGGAGCTTTAAGTCTCGGACTCCAACGTTCAACTGTTGACTTACCTACTAGGTGGATGTTGAACAACGTGTTGGGTATTTCGTTGCGCAAACATTATACCGAAGTTTGGCAAACTTGGTCGGCTTATCATGTCACCCGAAGCTCATCATCTACCTAGTAAGTATGTCAACAGCCGAAAAAAGGGGTGATGACTGTTACATAGGGGGTATCGGTACCTTGTCATCCTCTGAGCAACATAAAACATAATTAAGTAAAAATTAAACTTTGCATGAGAGATATGCATTTTACAACATGAGGCATTCATGATTTGGACATAAGAGAAGAGAAGAAGGTAAAAATGTAAAATTTTTCCTTAAAGTATTGTCACCACGGAACGTTTTCACGGGCTCTGTCCCTCCCAGGGCAAAATCCTACTTGCGGAGTAGGGTACTTGACACTGGGGAAAAATCGACCAACTCAATGTTTTTCCCAGTAACAGTTAAGGGTCCTTGAACCTCTTGTAGATGTATCAAAGACCAACAAACGGAGAGAGGAAGAATATGCGAAAGCAAATTGTGCGACATTTTGTTGTTAACTCGATTGTTTGTGTTCCTTTAGTTAAAATAATTTGTTTAATTGTTAATCGGGTTCAATTAAATCCCGATTGATACTCGATTTCTACTACTTATCTTCTCGCGCAAACTTGTCGCAACAACGGAAGAGCCCCGTCTCGTAGAGACGGTAACTGGAAAAAAAATCCTAGAAGTTTCATTCCTGCAATTCGAACTGGGGACAAATCCAATGAAAACGTCCCGTGCCAAGGCCTAAACCCTATAAGTTTTTCCGCGTCCCAATGTCCATCCAATCTAACACCATGATGAGAAGCCTTGAGCCCGTATCAGACGATCAAAGTAAAGGCTTCAAAGATGTTCATCGATGCCTTTCCTGGCCCTCTCATTGGCCAGCGGTTTAAAAGTCGGGGCAATCGATGTGTCTCTTTGAAGCCTCTACTTTGATCGTCTGATATGGGCTTTGGAAGATGTGCATCCATGCTGTGGCGGTTTACGGTGCGGACAGGCAACGTTGCGTAAGGACCCGTCCCGCTCCAAGGTAAAGCTCGTGGCCCCCAAGTCCAAGTCTCCGGGACCGGGACAAAGCTCCTTGACATCGTGCCCAAGGTTGCCAGGTCATGCCATCAAATGTGGATATTATACATGGGTTAAATGAGAAAACTCGAAATTTTCAGCACAACCTGGCAAAAACGATGGCGGCCAAACATCATTCTCGGCTTCGGCTCCGTTCAAAAGAGGGCGCTGCCATCCTTACGCATTGCGTAACGCATTTCTCCCGGGCTCCGGACCCAAACGCTCTTGCTCTTGGTCTTGACTCCAGTCGAATGGTTCTGGGTCAGGTTCTCCCGATTTAAGGATTGCTTCCGCGCTGCCGTGCTAAGGAAGAACGCCGTATGAACATTCGAGAGTTGCCAAGTTTCCGCCGATAAAAACCGAATTTATTGGGAAAATTGTCAATAATATTTTTCAAAATTATTAGACAATTTTGTGCGCAATATAATCTAAAATATCTGAAAATGTCAAGGAAAAATATGCACGAATGTTCTAAAAAAACATGTTTTATCAAGGGAAATTTGGCAACTCTCGAAGGTTTATACGGCTATCTTCCTCAGCACGGCAACACGGTTGTGTGTCGTTTTGTTCGCCACCGTAGCGTCATCACCATCGGTTTCCTCCAGATTTTCTGGACTTTTTTCATAGAATGGTGACTTTTTTTTGGTTGTTTTTGGAATGAGACAGCCTACTCTTGTATGTTCAGCCATCAATGTATGCTTTTCTACCCTGGTTCGACAAGAGTGTCTCACGAGGACGCATTAGATATCGGAAGACGAAGATTAGAGGAGGACGAGATGAGAGCAAAAACAGAGGGGAAAGACGGAGAAGAAGAACGATGACAAAATGAGGGGAAAATATCAAGAGTAGAAAAGGAGGGAAAGGGATGATGATAAAAAGAAACAGGGGAAGAAGAACCCTGGTAAAAATTGGCATTAGAATCTGTGTTCCAAAATACCATAGACCTACAGCCGGCTGTAAGATTTCCAATAGCTTCTATAGCCAGCTACACAATTTCTTATAGCCTTTTATAGCCGATGGCGATTAAGCAACAGCCAGGCGATAAAGTATATGCTAAACGTTACTAATTACGGATGCTAGGACTTAGTGAGTTTTTGGAATACTGCTCTCTTTTTGGAACGTAGTATCTTGATTTATTTTGCGAGGAAAGCTCCATACTTTTGATGGATGCCTGCCATTACTAGTATATTAGAGCGCCTTCAGTTTCGTATGATACTGTGCAATACCTCTGGTGTGAAATAGTTGCTTCAAGCGCCGTGGCACGCTGCGGTGCAGCAGGCGGGCAGCCAGCGCGAAACGCGCATTGGCGCCTACAAACCTAACAGGGATACTTCACGCGTTGCGCAATGCGTGAAGTATCCCTGTTAGGTTTGTAGTCGCCAGAGCGTCGCCGCTCCGCTTTGTGTTAGGTTGTAATATTTAATCTGGCGGAGCCAGCGTTATTCAACTCATGATTTTGAAATGTTTGCACATCCCGTATGGATTATTCTCATTTTAACTGATGAAAAAAAATATGTATTAAAGGAAAATATAATGTGTGTTTTGTATATATTAAGGTGGTTCCGTATCAAACTTAATGATTTCCAAAGCACACGAATTTCTACACAATTTCTTTTAGCCTTTTATAATCGATGGCGAAAAAGCAACAGCCAGGCGATAAAGTGTAAAGCCCGGCGATAGGAACCATCGCCCGGCTGCATAATTTTTTATCACTTCGTATAGCCCGGCCGTGTGATTTTCTCCGCATTCTACAGGCAGCTATATGATTTTCTGTAGCCTTCTTTAGCCGGCTATAAGAATTCCTATGGTATTTTGAAATGCAGCTCTTATCGCCAATTTTTACCAGGGAATAGGTAGAAGAGGTGGAGGAAAAAGTAGGTGTGAGAGGTAAATTAATAATGAGGAAGTGTAGGTAGAGGAGACAAAGAAGAGGAGGAGTAGGAAAACGAAGAAGAAGAGGAAGAAGCAGAAAAATAAGTGGGAGAAGGAAAGGACAGGACAGTGAAAAAGATGAAAAATGTAAGAAAAATAATTAATTTTTCTTCTTCTCTTTCGTCCTTTTGATGATTTCCTTCTTTCTCTCTTTCTTCCTCTTCTTATTCTTCGCCTTTTTCTTCTTACCCTCTTCATCTTGGTCTCCCGATTGCGAAGACGAGGAATCGGGTCTGTCAGGCTGGAGTAATACTGTTACTTTATCTTGTAAAAATGCAGCCCTCTCGGATAATTCCTTGAGCCTTGCATTTTAAGACCTCACGACTTTCGGCTCTGATCATCGCACATAGATTATCAGACAGAAGTCTTGAATCCTATTCCTGGTGAGGTTAATTGCAGTGGCGTGGCGTGCTTTGCGATATATCGATTGCTATGCCATTTAAACCTAAGGAAAAAGATCGATAAACAGGGTGTTCGCAGCGAACACCTTAATAATCGATTCTTTACCATAGGTTTAAATGGCAGAACAATCGATACATCGCAATTCACGCCACGCCACTGGTTAATTGGTCAGAAAATTTCACGGTGGTTTTTTCTTTCTTAGTTCCCTCATGAATTTTTGGAAAACGGTCGCATTACAAACATCAAACTTAAAATTCTCCACTTTTCGGGCTTATCAGGCGGAGAGGAACTATCATCTTACTCTCTGGAACCTATACCAATAACGCTGGGACTTGAAATTGCGGAAACCAATTTAAAACTCGTTTTACATTAAAAGTCACGTAAAATCTCAGATTCATCGAGCCAATTCCGGTACTTTATTTTGATAGGTTGGCCACATCTGATTATCTTCAGGACTATTTCGACCATCTCACAACATGCTCATTTTCCTCGTTTTCTGAACTAGAGTTGATCTCATCATTCAACTGATTTCAAGGAAAAACGCATTAAGCGTACGCACACGAGACGTAAATGGAATCGGCAATCGCCCACAAGGTTCACCCCGCACCATCATCAAAAATTCGGGAAAAATGAGTGGGAAAATATGCATAGCATACCTATACTGTCTCTGAAGAATCATAATTTTCTGGAACATGGAAAGGGAACGGCACTTGCCGTTACTGGAAATGTAATTTCGTGCTTTTGAACTTGTTATCTTCGCATAAACGCAATCTGAGATTATTTTCATATGTGTTTCTTGTGATCTCCAATTTTTTATCATGAGCAATAATGTCAAAAACGGCACGGGGAACTTGGATTTTTCTTTTAAAAAAAAAAAAAAAAAAAAAAAAAA